GCAGGGTTCCTCTTCTAGGCCATTCTCATCATGAAACCTGGGTGGGAAGGGGCAAGACGAGCTCCTGCATGATGACTCGGACAGGGATCAGAGGCAGGGCCTGTGCCATACACACCTTCAAACAGGGAGCCGGAACGGTGGCCAGCCCACGTTTCTACCAAAAACCTGGGGAACGTTCCTTTTCCATTCTAGTTCTAAAAATTACATGGCTTGTTACGTAGGTTGGGGTTGAGCTCAGAAAGTCATTTAGGGCTCTTCCAATTTAGAGATGTCAAATTGTCACCCCTTTGTAGATGTCAAGGAGGAGAATCTTGTGGCAGCTCCTGGGGTGAGTGGAGGCAGGGAGAGCCTCAGAACCGGCCTGCTCCTGGGGCCACTAGCTGTGGTTAGGGGGACTTTCTGGTCTGGGTCTCTAGTTCTGCAGCCAGACAATGGGGGTGCAGGGGAGGCCTCATGATGCGTCTGGACACCAGACACAGAGCAGCAGACAACCGCCAGCTGGCTTGGCACAGCTGCTAGAGAGACAACTTCAGTTCAAAAAAAGAGTCCCTGTGTTTTTCTTACCAGTTCCCCCAGGGAGGGGGATAGAGAGGAAGGACTAAAAGACTGGAAATAAATGTGGCTCAAAGGACATCACATTCCATATGGGGTGGGACCCACTGGAGGCAGCTGGGGGCCTGCGGTTTCTCTTGGTCAGCCTCCCCAGAGGACCAGGAGCCACTGGGGTAGGAGAACACAGAGCCCCAGGAACTCTGTTGTGATGCCTGGAGTTGGGAGTCCCTGGCTCCCTTTGGTGGCAGTCACTCTGGGTGAAAGTGACAAACCTGAGCCAGCAACTCGTATTACCCAGCAACTTGGGAGTTGTGGTTCTCACCTCCCGGTTGATGCCTGGACCCATCTGAGCAACATCAGTGAGCTCAGACTGTAGGATATTAGCTACAACCGATTGCTTAAATCAACAACAACCAGAAAACAGTTGCCGTCTAGTCAACTCTGATTCATGACAACTCCATGTCTGTCAGAGTAGAACTGTGCTCCACAGGGTTTTTAATGGCTGATTTTTCAGAAGTAGATCACCAGGCCTTTCTTCTGCAGTGCCTCTGGGTGGACTCTAACCTCTAACCTCTTGGTTAGCGGCTAAGTGCTAAACCATTTGCACCACGCAGGGCATTGTTTAAATCTAAGCAATTTGAAGCTGTCTCACTGCATGTCTTTCCCAGATTTGTCTTTTTTTTTCCTAGTAGGAGGAAGTACGAAAGTTCTTTGAATGTTGCTTTCCAGGGCAAAGAACAGCAATCTCCTGGTCTCAACGGCCTGTAAAATAGCCATCTGCTCACCTGGGGAGGCGGGCAAAGCACTTTAATCTCAATAAACCAGGAAAGATGTAGGCAGGCTTAATCCGGCCACAAAGCAGGTTGCCAGAAGATTTCTCCTCCCCTTTTTACTCCCCCAAATACCCTGAGGATTAAATGATGCACCATCTGGGCGAGGAGTTCAGTCCAGGCTCTTGCCCAGCCACATGCGGAAGCCCAGGGCTGGTTGCAAAATCCGAGTTTAGAACTCTTCACGCCAATAAAAAGCTGAGAGGCTTCATTGACGGAATTCTCAGCTGGAGTCTGTTTATGGGCTGAGGTCCTCTCAGGTTAGGGGACTGTTGAACAATCAGAAGTGATTTGGAAGGAAAGCAGCTGTTCTTTAGTTGTCTGCAGAGCAAACTCCTTGAATGTGTTTGCTCAAGGTGCTGACAATTGTTTTTAGCAACTTTTCTTCTGATTAAAAAATAAGATTTGATGGTTGTACAACATAATTAATGCCACAGAATTGTAATTTAAAATGGTTAAAATGGCAAAGTGATGGTATATATATTTTACCACCCATTGTTGTCGAGTCAATTCCGATTCCTAATGACCCGATAGGACAGAGTAGAACTGCCCCACAGGGTTTCCAAGGCTATAATTTTTATGGAAGCGGACTGCCATGTCTTTCTCCCACAGAACAGCTGGTGGGTTCAAACCACCAACCTTTCAGTTAGCAGCCGAAAGCTTAATCGCTGAGCCACTAGGGCTCATATTTTACCACAATAAAAAAATAATATATGCTCATTCTAGCATTGTTTGTAATAGCCAAAACCAGGAAATAATCCAGATATCCCAAAACAGTAGAATGGATGCATGTATTATTTTAACAATGGAATACTATACAGTAATGAAAACAAATGAACTATAGCCACATACAAGAATGTGGATGAATCTTGCAAAAATAATGTTGGACAAAAAATGGAAGACACAAAAGGTAACATAAAATTTGATTCCATTACATAAAGCTCAATGACAGGCAAACTATACTATTTTGTTTAGAAGTGCGTATATGGGTGATTGAAAAAAAAAAAGCTGGGAAATTACTAAGAGAAAGAAAGGGACTTGGGGAGAGACTTCTGGTGTGCTGGCAATGTTATATTTCTTGCTCTGGATGGATATCTACTTTATAATTATTCATTAAAGTGTACATTTTATTTTATGCTTTTTTCAGCATGCATATTTCATAATACAATGTTTTTAAGGCAGATACACAAAGAGAATCTAGCCTTTTATGAATTAAATGTAAAATCAAATCTAACATATGCTGGAAAGTACAACACATCATTGAAAGAAAGCTGAACAATGAAAAAAGGAAAACCAAAGAATTGACTTATTTGAATTACGGTGTTGGTGAAGAATAGTGAATACACTGTGCCCTGCCAGAAGAAGATAAATCTGTCTTGGAAGAAGTACAGCCAGAATGCTCCTTACAGTCAAGGATGGTGAGACTTCATCTCACATACTTTGGACATGTTATCAAGAGGGACCAGTCCCTGGAGATGGACATCATGCTTGGTAAAGTAGAGGGTCAGTGAAAGAGAGGAAGACTCTCAATGAGAGGGATTGACACAGTGGCTGCAACAATGGGCTCAAACATACCTACTGTTGTCGGGATGGTGCAGGACCGAGCAAGGTTTTATTCTGTTGTACATAGCGTCACTGTGAGTCGAAACCAACTTGACGGCACCAAACAACAACAACAAAAAACAAGAAAGACTTCCATGTTCCTGGATTGGAAGACGACATATTGTTAAGAGGACAATACTCCCTAAATTGCGCTAAGGATTCAATGCAATCTATCAAAATCCCAGCTGATTTTTTTTGCAGAATTGACAGCTGATCCTAAAATTTTTATGGAAATGTGTAAGACCGAGAATAGCCAAAACAATTGAAAAAGAAGAACAAAGTTGCAGGACTCGCACTTCCCCATTTCAAAACTTCTACAAAGCTACACTAGACTGTGTGGTATTGGTGTAAGGATAAACGTATGTATCAGCAGAATAAAATTGGGAGTCCAGAAATAAACCCTTAAATTTAGGGTCAATTGATTTTCAACAAGAATGCCAAGACAATTCAATGGGGGAAAGAACAGTCTTTTCAACAAATGGTGCTGGGACAGCTGGAGAGCCACATGAAAAGAATGAAGTTGGACCCCTACCTCGCACCATATACAAAAATTAACTCCAAATGGAGGAAAGACCTCAATGTGAGCTAGAACCATAGCTCCCAGGATGGCTATAATAAAAAGGACTAAGTGTCAAGAATGTGGAGAAAATGGAACTTTCATATATTGCTGGTGGCAATGTAAAATGGTGCAGCCACGGTGGAAAACAGGTATTTCCTCAAAAGTTAAATATAGAGTTATTATATGACCCAGCAACTCCACGTGTATGTACAGCTCAAGAGAATTGAAAACTTACTAAGTGTTCATAGCAGGATTATTCATAATAGCCAGAAAAAGTGAAAACAGCTCAAATTTCCATCAACTGGTGAGTGGATAAATAAAATGTGGTGTATACATACAATGGAGTATTATCTGTAAAAGGGAATGAAGTACCGACGCACGCTACAACACAGATGAACGCTGAAAACATTATGCAAAGTAAAAGAAGCCAAACACAAAAATCCACATATTTTATGATTTTCATTTATATACAATGTCCAGAACAGACAAATGCATAGAGACACAAAAGTAGATGGGTGGTTACCCGGGGCCGGGGGAAAGGAGGAATGGGGAGGGACTGCTAATGGCTACAAGGTTCCTTTTTGGAGTGATGAAAATGTTCTAGAATTAGTGGCGATGGTTGCATAACCTTGCAAATATACTAAAACCCAGTGGATTGTACACTTAAATGGGTGAATTTTATGGTATGTGAATTACAGTTCAATAAAAAATATAAAACTAAAAAAACTGTAAATTGTGAACTAATGTTTAATTTCAAAAATCAGATCTAATAATAAGAAAGTAGCATATACTCATTGTAAGAAAAATTGGAAGCACTCCCTTCTTAAAATAATAATCACCCTGAGATAAGCCGCTGTGAACGCTGCGGGTATCCCCACTTATAGCAGTGAGGATTCCGCTCTGGAGGAGTTTTTGCTACGGAAGGGATATCCCTCCATCCCCACGTATCCAGCACACATACACTGGCTTGGACGTTCCAGTTGCCAGACGAGAGGAGGGGTAACCGGGACGCGACCGGACCTCGCCGCTGAGGAGCAGAAGCTGAGTGTGAGACCGCGGGACGAAAGGCGGTGGTGGGACGCGAGGGGCGTGGGCAGGGCGTGGGGGCGGGACGTGGGCGTGTCGGGAGTGCGCGGGGTTGTGGATCAAGACTTGGGGGACGTGAGGCAGGAAGGTGTCTGGGGGTGGGACGCGGGGGATGCGGGGCGGGGAGGACGCAGAGGCGGGCCGTGGGGATG